GAGAATGAGATGCAACTTCATTAATATGCATGGCTGCGAAGACTTCTTTTACAGTTTTCAGAGTGACTTCATGTTGTGTTGACTACCGTAATTCTTCAGCATTGTGTTCAGTTCACACTGGAATCTGATATTGCCTACATTTAAAAATTACAAGAACAGCCTATCTTTACATGACCTGTTATGAGCTTTTAGCTATTTTTTTTTAAATAAATGAGGTTTTTTTAATCTTTCAGATTTCACTTTCATTTTTAGAAGTTTTATGCAGTTTGTTTTAAATAAAATATTTTTAATTTCAGATTTTTTATTAGCTAATAATTATGAATTATAATAATTATTATAACAATATCATTCATTCATTTTTCTTTGACTTAGTCCCTTATTTATCAGAAGTTGCCACAGCGGAATAAACCGACAACTATGTTTTACCCAGCAGAAGCCCTTCCAGCTGCAACCCAGCACTGGGAAACACCCAATTACTCTCATTCACCTATAACGCATGTCTTTGGACTGTGGGGGAAACCGGAGCACCAAGAGGAAACCCACTCCAACACGGGGAGAACATGCAAAAAAGGTGACAGTGCTAACCCACTGAGCTGCCCAATTATAACAATTTAATATTAATAAAATATCTCTTTCTGCCATTCAATAGTTTTATGTGATGGACTGACCAATGTTTCAGTCAATATTATCTGCATTTATGCATAAATTCCTACAAGACTTTATGCATATTGTTGGTGTATGGAAACTATACACACACCTTTTCTAGAGAATTATCTAACTTTATGCTTCATTAAAAAATATATAACAAAACATGGGCTTAGAACAACATTAAGGTGAATAAATACCAGAATTTTCATTATGAACTAAATTATTCCTTTAAAATTCAACCAAAAAGGTCATCAAGTCACCTTTTACAAGTTCAAATTATTTAAAATTACATACTTTTCACCACACAAAACTGACAATCTCCAAAAAATGCATATAACATGAACACACTGCGAGACAAGTCCTGCAACAGCTTTAAGTTAGCTTTAAACTGAGCTCACCAACAGGTCAGAGCCATTTGTCAGTGGTTGGTGTGTCTAGATATGCAATCAGGATCTTGTGTTACCTGCATGCACATTGCAATGCAGTCCCTGTGCTGTTAATCGAACAGTGAGAGAATCACTCCTGGTTCTTCCTATTCCTGTCAATTAGCCCCCCTGAGTGAATTGAATGGGAGCCACGTCTCATATAGAAAGCAGAACACACACACACACACACACACAGACCCAAAGCAAGAGAGAGTGAGCGAAAATAGTATTTGAATAGGACAAATCTGGGGCAGCCTCTTCATTATGAGGGTACACAGAGCGAGTGGAGGGCGCATCCATCTTAACTTCTCCATCATACCAGTTTCCCTTCCTTTATCAGTGAAACGGTCAGAAGATGAATCTCCATCTGGGTTCCTCATTATTCCATTTGTTCAGTTGAGAGCTGACCTGCTCACCTCGCCTCTGCTTCTCTCTCTATTGCACTCACACAAACACGCACCGCCAACTTGTCTTTTAACCAATAACACCACCACACACTGCCATATTGTCTCACGGAGCCAAATCAGCAGGTGTGTTTGGGTTTAGTCAATTATTATAATAAAGTCAACAGCTCCAAACCTTAACTCCTTAGCTCAGAAAAAAAGACATTATGAAGATTAATCGTTGGAGAAAGATAACACAAGCACAAGAGTCGTTCTTATTAAACACATGCATCATGTCTGCAAAACGCCTCTCAATACATACAAGTGCAAATGCTGAAAGAATTTCATTTCATGTCACTAAAGGCTGTTCATAATGGGAAAGAAAGAAAGAAAGAAAGAAAGAAAGAAAAAAAGAAAGAAAGAAAGAAAAGAAAGAAAGAAAGAAAGAAAGAAAGAAATTAAGACTTCTTTTTTAAGCACATCATAAATTAAGCATAAGGGATCACCCCTAAATGTAACACTCAGCCCCTGTTTATACTAGGCATGTGACAATAACCGGTTTCAAGGTTTACCGCGGTTTGGAAAAGTCAAGGTTGTAAAACCGCCAACATTTTCTAATATACTGTTCCTACTGTATATTTAAGTTGCTTTTTAAATTATTATTATTATTTTTTTAGGGCACCAGTATCTATAAAAGGATCGTTTACATCAAAAGCTACTGGTCAAAACAAGACATCCAAGCATGCTATAGACCAGAACAATGGAGTGGCTTACTTTATGTTCATCATCATCATTTTCGGCTTAGTCCCTTTATTCATCAGGGTTTGCCACAGCGGAATGAACCGCCAACTTATCCAGCATACGTTTTACGCAACAGATGCCCTTCCAGCAGCAACCCAACATTAGTAAACCCCTATACACTATCATTCACACACTACACTATGGACAATTTAGTTTATTCAATTCACCTAGCGCATGTCTTTAGACTGTGGGGGAAACCGGAGCACCCAGAGGAAACCCACATGAACACGGGAAGAACATGCAAACTCCACACTTTTGAACTCTGTGTTTTTAAACTAATGAAGATAGCAGAAGTCAAAGATTTATTTTAATTATTTAGCCTTACATGTTTACTGCTCCAAAATATTTTAAATTCTTAAAAATTAAAATCTATTGTATTAAAATAAAACAATTAAATCTTTTTAACTGTTTTCCTCAGACATTTAAAAAGAAGATGTTTGAGGTAAGTATTCACAATAATGTGATACCGTGAAACCATGATATTTTTATCCAAGGTTATCATACCGCCAGAATCTACACCTGGTATTAAAATGTTTCTGTAAAGCATACCTAATAACATAGATGACATAGATGACAATGCTAAATACAGAAGTAAAAAATTTAAGCTTGTACATTTTCAACCACTTCTAGAGTTAGCTGAAAACACGTGTTCGAACAGCCATAAAAAACATCATACTCTCTGTCTACTGACCTAATTCTTAAACATAACGGGACATGCTGCTCTAGTGCTCTAGCCAAATGAGATTTAAACTAGAAAATTCTTTTTTTGTTTTAATGTAAAAAGAACAATGTTCTTTAACTGGGTAAGATTCTGATTGATAACCTTAAATGAAAATATCAAGGTTTCAGGATTTTGTGGTTACTGCTCTAAAACAAAATTCTTTTTTAATGTCTGGTTAAAAAAATTTACTTTTTTACCTTTTTGAACACTATATATTTTATTTTGAGAAAGATTTAAAATCATTTGGAACAGTAAAGATGTCAAGCTAAATAATTAATATTATAATAAAATAAAAATAATTCAATTATACAAATAATATTCAATAATTCTTCTAAATCAATCATTGACTTCTGTCCTCATTAGTTTCAAAAACACTGAAAATCTTGGGGGAAATCTTGGGGTTTTAAAACCTTGACCTTTCCAATCCGCAATATACCTTGAAAACGGTTACTGTATCTTTCCATGCTTAACGCCAACCATCTATTTAGCATAGATTGGTGGCTATCTGAGCAGAAACAAAAGCTACTGTTACTGATTTCTATGTCTCCTTTTGTGATTGTATCCATGTTTATTTCACATTATTTGATCAAAAAGAGAACAGACACCTTCCCAATGAGCATACTGTGATCTGATCCACCAAATGCATCTTAATGTAAGATGTAAACAGGACTTCAGGTCACTGAACAGAGCATAAAACAAGAGACTTGGGATTCCCAAGTTAACTGAACCAATGTAAAATATTTATATTTAGTTAAATTTAGTTAAGGCGGTTCATTCCGCTGTGGCGACCCCGCAATATTAAGGGACTAAGCCGACAAGAATATGAATCAATGAATGATATTTAGTTAAAATTACAAAAATGTATGAATGAGATTGAACCAATGCACAGAGATATTTATAAAAGACTGAGTCTCAGCCTGGCATAAGAACAACATACACAAACATAATGAATTCACATTATTATGCGCAAAAAATAATCAATAAACCAGTAGCGCAAGCAAAGAAAAAAATCATCAACTTATAACTAAAAATAACAATTTCTAACTATTTTTAGGCAAACTGGTGTAAATTCATATTTGTACACACATTGATCAATCTAACCCTACATACTGTCCACTAATTAAAGATATGGATGTACAAAAGAAAGAAGAGGAAAATGTTAATTTGTATAACCATAGTGAATTGTAATAAAATATTCTTATAAACACTGAATACATTTACGTTTACTCAAGTTCAATTGATAAAGTGAAAAAAGACAAAAAAATAATAAAACATTCCAATATGTACAATTTGACATTTAGAATAAATAAAACATGTCACTATATAAAAGACTTCTTAAACACCCATGAGGCTTAAAATCTGCCTTCTCTGTTATCTGCATAAATCTTACACGATAACAAAATGCCTTGCTGCATGCTGGTAACACTTAACTACTATTTTTAAAAACTAGAAGCATCATCATAACTGTGTATACACTTTAAGAACTGATGAGGCACATTTCATTTATGTTTAACCTCTTTAACTAGCACTCTAAGAAAAAGAAAAACATTTATTAATTGCATTGGGTTCCTGACACCATTCTAAGAAAATGTAGTATTTAGTTTTAATAATGATAACCTGTGGACAACAGGTCAAGCAGGCTGTGTCGATGCCCGATCTAGTTGAAATATGCATATTAGTTTTATTAGCTGTAAATGTTATTAATATTAATAACATTAAATTGCTGTCTGTAAGCTGTGGCACATAGTGGTAACAAAAAGAGCTCAGGGACAATTTTGTGGCACAGCTGCCTCCGTTCCCGTGGATACCGGGCGGAGTGGCACACGACACGAACAAGTGGTTATCAGAGACCTGAAAGTGACATGAGCTCAACTACACACATACAGCCGAAAACGAGATTCACCGGCCGAGCGATGCGTAAACATGTGCGCCATTGTGCGCGTGGCGCAGGATTTGCATAGGCAAATATAGCGCACTATTACGCGTGTGACAAGCAGACGGGAGAAGGGCACCCATACTAACCGTTGCCTTGATGGGGACGTACAGGACCGGTCTGTCCGCTGCCCCGTTCTCGTTCTCGCTCTCGCTCCTGCCCACCTGGAAACCTTTAGATTTCACCCAGAACTTAAATTTGGCGTTGATGTGGTTGCTCTCGATAATGACGCCCTCCGAGTCGTCGCTCTGTAAGAGGGTCTGCAGAATTTTGTTGTATTTTCGCCGGGTGACGGTCTTTGTTTTCCCGGAGTCCCCGTAAGTGCGAAGGCACCACTCCTGAAAATCACCAAACATCTCCGCCTCGGACACCGCGGGGCTTCGGCTCCTTCTCGTTAAATCCACCCGTTTTTTGGTTGACATGGCTTTGTCGGTCCTCCTCCGGAACGAAAGAGGCTTCGAAAGAAAAAAATGCTTTAATAAAGAGATAGCTCCTGATTTACCGCGAATGCAAATTAAACCTATTCACTGCACAAATACACGACTTGACTCCCTTGTAGTATTTTTTGTTTGATCTCGCACCTGTTAACGGAGCCGTTTCTTCTGTCCCACAGGATGACAAACAAATGACAGTCCCGCGTCTCCTGTTGAGGAACTGAAAGAGGGGCCGTCCTACGTACGGCTTTCGCCCACCTGTAAGCTGAGGGCTAATTAAAGCAAACTGTCCTTCGACTAAATAACCTAAGCACGGCGGTTAGATTGCGTTAATACGCGCAGCAGCCACAATTGAGTCCTTGTAACGGAAAGCAAGTGGTCCTATCGGCGTGTTGAAGCTCTTGCGCCGGTCGCTCAGTGAATGAGCTGCTGCTCCACCTGAAACCGCTCACCACCTGTTTGAATGAGCTCGCAGATTCGCGCGCCCGTCCACGAGGAGCACCGGAGTCTGCGGTAATGGGAGAGATGAGGCGCAGCGCTGAGCTGATCCACGAGGCGGTTGGACGGATGCGTTAACAGCGATGTCCCACATTCGCGGTGGGACAGTCCAGATCCAGGAAGTGCACGCACCCATATGCCCAAAACAACACAAAGCGCGAGTACATAGAAACCAATTTTGGGCAGGAGGTAACTGCGTTGTGTTATTTATTTATATAGTATTTCCTTGTATGTCATACAAAGTACACAAAGCCGAATTCACTTTATATCAATTATATTTGATAAAATATTTTATATTATTCTTAAATGAAAATATACATCAAATGAATGTGGGGCGTTGTCTTGATTCACTTGGGCTGAGCTGGAGCAGGGCAGGTGCATTTTATTTCTTGGCCTTTTTTTAAGTATCCTGTATTTACACAGAAGTTGAAGGCAGGACAAAACCAGTTCAGAACAGCCTTTACCTGACCGTAAACCTTAAATAGTTTTTAAACATTTCATAAAATGGTTCTTGTTTTAAACATGCCTGACAAGATACTTTCAGAAATAAATCATTGTTTGCTGAATAAGATTTTATATAGATCATAGACATCATCATATTTTTTGCATATATTTTTGATTATTTTAACTAGATTCCAGCGTATAAAAATTATGGCAGATATAGAGATATTGCACTTGTTGTTTTTATTTATTTAATTAAATACCTGTAGATCAAACAGCTGCTTACCAGGAAATGCACATTCTTCTAATCTTTATACAAGTTATACATACAGTACATGCAAGATTATTTCACGCATACCTGCACATGTGTGTTTGTGTCTGTGTGTGAAATTGGTTACATTTTGATTATGTTTTCTCAGCTTTAAAAAAATGTAAACTGCACTTTGTACATGCATGGAAAAACTGTGTTAAAAAAATCACGAAAAATCCCAAAATTAAGTTAATTAAAGAAGAAAAACTGTGCCTTGATGAGTTGATTAATTTATTCATTTCCATAAAGCTGGAGGGATATTATTAGAAGTTACTCCTACAATGCTTAAGGAGAAATACAATAGAAGTAAATGAAACGATTAACATACTGTAAGACTATTAAGAGATTATTGTATGTATCATATATTATGTATTTTTAGTATATAGACTGTAGAGTTTTATTAAATTAAAGTTCTACTAATATTAACTTTTGCTTCTGCATCAAGCATGGCTATTTCCTAAGAGATTAGACAGACTTAACAGTAAAAAAAAAAAAAATCTACACAAAAACTCCATGTGCACTTAGAACACCAGATTTACTAAGGTGGCATCTCTTTTCTGATTTGTCATGAATACACACATGTACACACAACACAAGTCTCTAGTATTTGAATTGTTATCAGGTTTAATTAATTGATAATATTTAAGCATTCACCAGCATAAAGGTTAAATAATTCAATTAAATGAAAATGATTAATAATCTTTCTTTGTGAGTTCCATTGCTGGAGAACTCATCCAAGATATCAGAGAGAAATACTACTGCAGCCCATGAAGTATTGTGGGCGATGGAGGAGACCTTGAGTGAACAGTGAGCCTGGACATTCTGTGCTGAGCTGAGTGCGTTTGTGTAACTCTGAGTGCTGTGTGTCCAGCTCAGACACAACATACAGATACACATGCAGTGTGCTGAATCTACAAACAGTTGTGTGGAATAGTTAAAAAGAGCTTTCAAACCCTTTTTCAAAAGTTTTAATTCCGCATATTTATTGATGTTTCAGGAAAACTGCTCAGTTTCCGGACAGCTTGACCTCATTTAATTTTTATTTATTTTTTGTTCCATATCTGTTTATATCGAAGGCATAAACTTTCAAGTGCACTCTTGAAAATAAAGTTTTCAAAATACTTTTTCCAGGAAAACAAACAAAACTTTTTGATGACTTATCCAGCACTATAATGATTTGTGTCCAATCAGATGCACTCTAAGCATGCCCCTCCCCCGCCAGCAGGCAATTAGTATTAGACCCTATTGTCAAGAAAGAGACAAGCCTTCAATATGTCTTATTCAAACTTCCTGTTTCAAAATGTCAAAACCAGAATGATAATTGTATTGTCAAAGGATACAAGACTTCATAAAATCAGCTTCTGCTGGGGATTTTTTCTAATTAATAAATGCAAAAGTGTAAAAAAAAAAAAAAACACATCAGGACTGGGAACTATAGACCATTTCAATGTGGTCATTTCATTGGCCAATGAACATTTCCAGCTTGTTATCAATCTATGTCTTAACTAACAAGAGGCAATTCAATCATAACTGAATGTTAAAACAGCTATCATAATATTATTTATTAATATGTGGAGCTGTTTGGATTCTTGGAAACTATAGAAATAAAAATGTAAAACAGGAAATATGTTGGGGCCATTGTTTCCGTTCACATCCCTCAAAATAGTCTATAATAGTTACAATATTAAAGACAATGCTTTCAAATTCATTCTAAATAGAAAGGAGTAGCAGCACATGTATGCGTTATATAACACCTCCACATTTATACAGAAGACAAGGATGAAATATATTGTTGAAATCTCTTTCCGAGCATTTTGTTTCCAGTTGATGAATGATTCTGACAACCTTTTAGAATTCATTCAGCTTTTAAAGAGCACAAGCATTTAAACATTTAAACAGAACATTATCATGCATTAGTGTAGACACTAGACAGACATTACACTGTTACTGTACACACACAATTTTGTCTTCAAAGGTTTTTTTTTTTTGGGGTGCTATATACACTAAAAAGAACTCGTTAAAGCAGGGATGGCCAAACTTTTTCGTATGAAGGGCCAAGAACCAAATATTATTACAAGTCATGGGCCGAAGATAAATATACCAAACTATTTAACATTTAAGTTGCAATAGGTAATTTACTAATTCATTTCATAATATTTATAAATAAATGGAAAACATTCCTTTAAATCATACTACCTAATACTGAAATATTTTTTAATTATGCCTTGCAATAAAATGTCATAAAAACATAATCGCATTTATTACAGTGGAGTTGAATGCTGAATACACTAGCCAAGCAGAATCTGCCTTTGCCTTGATTCACTCACCAAAGTCTCTGCATTGTTCTCTGTCCGTCAGGTGACAGTATGCACATTTTAAACTAATTAAGACTTATTAAAATCACTTAAATTGAAACATTGAACTACAGTTAGCTTTTTTTGTTGCTTAACAATAAAACAAATATAAGCTTACATAAAATTGTACTCGACAATCTCTTAACTATCGCCATCATTCTACCTTTCTTCTCAGATGAGAAGGTGGGCCAAATCAAAGGTTACCACGGACCAACTTTGGCCCGCGGGCCTTAGTTTGGGCATCTCTGCGTTAAAGAGATAGTTCACTCAAAAACTAACATTTCTTCATCATTTACTTGGTCTTTGTTTAAAATGTTTAAGAGTTTCTTTCTTCTGTTGAACACAAAATAAGTTATTTTGAAAAGTGCTGAAGTCATTTACTCAATGGTTACAGGATTTCAGCTTTCTTCAAAATATCTCATACAGGATTGAAAATACTTGAGGGTCAGTAAAAAGCGAGTTTGTTTCATTTTTGGATGAACTATCCCTTAAATTTCAGTATGGTTGTTCAACAGTTTAACGCAGTATCACTGAAATTTTTATTTTTTTTTAATATTCATTGGATTTACTCAATTTATTTTAAGTTATGTGGTTGTAAACAATTTATTTGGGCTGAATTTAAAGAAACAAATTAAACTGAATATTACAACATTTCATTTGTTTGTTTAAATTCAACACATAAATTGTTTGCAACAATCTTGCCGACATTATTTTTTTTAGCACCAAACCTATACAAAAAAAGGCTTATACTGTAGTTATTTAACTCTCTCTTAGATTTTAAAGCTTCTCAACGTGTATTAAGTTCCATTTTATGAACCACCAAGCACCATGTTTTCAGCTAAAAATCTTCTTTAACGATCTCCTGAGGAAAAAAGTAACCTACATCTTTGAATGGCCTGAGGCTGAGGAAAAATGAACAGCAAATTTTCGCTTTTGGGTGAACTCCAGTTCCTGAATTGGAACTGGTAGGTTTGTCTCCTCTACACGCCCTCATCCTGAACGCTCGCACTCAGCAAAAGTTATCAGTACAGGCAGAGAGAAACAAAGCACTAGAACGAGCTGTATTGAAATAGCCTTTTGCTTTGGGAAGTGAAAGTGGGTTTCAAAACCCTGCTGACTCCCTCCCTGCCTTTTTTTCCCCTTTTCAGCTGTGGCCCAAGAGAGAAGCGAGCATCTGCTTCTAGAAAAGTGGTCAGTCATCTGTGGTTAGCCCACTTAAGTCTCTTCCCTGAAATGTTTGTCACTCTGTCTGTCGAAATCTCAACCGCTGTTCCAGTACCAGCACCATGTTCCAGTAGCATACGGGACTATTTGAAGCGTTTATAGACACTTAAAATGAAGGATCCTTTATTGGCATCAATGGTTTTATGAAGAACCTTTAAAATCGACTCTGAAAAAGAAATAAGTTAGGATTGTTTTGATAAAATTGTTCCTTAAACTGTGAATAAAAATGGTTCTTTAATTTTATATATATATATATATATATATATATATATATATATATATATATATATATATATATATATATATATATATATATATTTCTTTTTTTTATTGTATGATAATAAAAAACTTGAATAAAACTCCCTTTTTTTTAGGCTTCGTTACTTTTAACAGTGTATTAAGCAGTCCTTGTGGGCCACATTTCATCAGTGGATCCGTTGAAATGTACTATAAGAATGTGTGTAAACATTAATGTCTGAAATGTATTGTATGTGTGGAGTGTCGGCTTTCTGTTATCCTCTTCTCCCCTGTGCAGTATGTCTGTGTCTGGCTCCACATGGGACTGGAGATACGTGTATGTGCGTGAGGCTCTGCTCTATACAGGACTCTGTGTAAGGGTGGGTAGTTATGTCTATCTGTTGCTATGACGGCAGTCATCAGCAGAGGCTGTGAGTGGGTGTAGGGTACAGTGTGCTGCTTATCCCTGCTGACTTACTTGTGTGCATGGGTTTGTGCAATTCGGACTGCTTCCGTTAAGGCAAATGTAAAATGCTAATTATGTTGATCCTGACATATTAAATGAAAATCTAATTTTTTTTATTTAGTTCAACAAGTCTGTCTATGAGAATTATATCACATTAATTTATATTATATCATATTCATTATATTTTATTCATTTAATTTATTTTACATTTTGTGTTTAATAAAAATTATATCTTTCTGTTTCTTTGTCATTTTATTAATGAAATTTAAGCAAATTATTTCAATAGCAAACAGTTAGCATGAAGCAAAGGTGAGTAATTAACTTTAAAGTTAAATTTAACAGATGATGCTAACTTTTACATAGTGCCTTAATATTACTGAAACACTGCGAAGAGCATTTCAAATACCTATAATACCTATTCACAAACAGATCAGCTCTACCAACAATCTAAATAAAAAATATAATTAAAATAATGAAATGCATGTATTTTATATAAATTTATTTTATTCTTCTATATAATTAAGCATGTGTTTGCTCTTGCAGTTTGTTTGGTCCGGGCCAAAAGAAACACTACATTTGTTCCTGCTTTGCTTAGCATTTACACTGCCATTTTACATCAAAAAAGGGCATTTATGAAGCTTTAAAATAATTTCAAATAACAGCAGCAATTCCTGTTTTTCAATGTATAACATACAATGTAGCAAGCATGCTATTTTATGGTAGCATCTTATGAGATAATAATGGCAGCAAACCTCAAAAATCAAAAGTGTGAGCACACACTACGGCTACATTCAGACATTATTTTACTCTTTTTTTTCACAATTAGTGTAAACATCCCCAAACCATATGGAATCTTTGTTCTTGGAATCAAGTTTTGATTCTGATTTGGGGCACTTCCATTTGGCCTATAAATCTGATAGTAAATGTCTGAAGTTTTGTTTGGACCCCCTCAATTAAAACTGCATCTCCTTCAGCTAAAATTGAAGGTATTGTGCCATGCGCTTGCTTTCCGATTGA